ATGAAATAAACACTTGTGGTAGTTGATATTTGGCAAACCTTATTCATTTACCTATAATTAATAAACACAGATGTTATATCTAAATAAGTACTTGCCTCTGGATAATAGTTAATTACAAGTAATGTAAATCAACTATTTACACTGAATGTCAAAATGATGTATTATGCTACTGTTTAATTGTCTTTTCTTGCTGTTCGTCCTAATATCTTGTATCAATGAATATGATAGTTACTTGATTTTGAAGTTTCTAGACAACTTGTTCGAAAAATAACAGATTGATTAGTCATAAACTAAGTTGTTTTTGTACATAATTCTAACGTTTAGCAAGTGGAATAAGAATTTATAAAGTTTATAAAAACGAGATCGTATACTCGAAACAGGAGTTATTTGCATTTATTAGATTCGCTAATCACTCATGTAGCACCAAAAATATACTATTAAAGAATCAACAACAATTGGATGGAACTGAGAAGGAAGAATGGGTTGGAGAATGCTAGTCGGTGGCCTATGCTCTATTGGGAGTAGCAGGCGTATGTAGGTAAGTAAAAACATATACCACAAATACCAATCTAATGATGCATGTATTATAAGATTGCAGATTATATAAACGTAAAAAGAAAATGTAAGTATTTGCTTAAATTGTGATTAATTATATTTGACATCTACAGATTATTTCATAGAAATGCTTGTTTGCCTTTTTTTATTCAGCTTATGCTTCAAGCTACAAACCGGTTACCGAGATTCCACCTAGTTAATTGGGCGGAAAGATTACCAGAAGAATTCCACTGCAATAAGAAGTAACAATACTAATTACTGAATCAAAATCTGATATCTCATTGATACACCAGTTTTTTTTATGAAGCTTACTTACTAGTTTAAGTAAAGCTATTACTTAGAGTGTACATTTCATAGACATTTTACACATTTTATGTACTGGAACATTTTGTAGTATCAAGAACGAAATATTCATTAACAGAAGTAGTTGTACATGAAATGCATAAAAACTATAATAAAGATTGATCAATATCAGATATTTATACAAACATTCATCATAGAGGTTCACAATTATCAGATTTCCCGATTTTTCAGTGATAACTTGCGCTTAATGAGCTTCAATCTATGACTACTATAGTTCAAATCATTCTGAGCTATGAGAGTCTTAGGTTTAATCTTCAGTGAGAACGTGTTCATAAACTACATAGGAGATTTCTTAGTATGATGATAAAGATATCTAATGCGTTGTAGACTTTATTGGCTATTAAGCTATAGGCGTCCAACGATTTTAAACTGTTTTGATAATACACAATGGTTGTTATTGAATCATTCTACATAGATTATTGGTGACAACTTAATTTTAATCCATATTTTTGGAAATTTTTTTCAGTTCAAATAATGATTCTTTATTTTAAACTGACAGTTAATTTTATGAAAATATGGTTACTGAATTTTTCTATACTCATGATTTTGTGCAATATTCAAATGATTTTTACATTTTATACAACAATGATCTTCAATATAATTGCCGCCCCCTTTTTTGAATAGTTTTTTTTCTTTTTTTTATTCTAGTCAATAGAAACATTTCAATTTTATCTCATTGTTTTTATATTGATGAAACTTTCAATTTTTTTCGATAAAGAAACATCAAACAGATTGCTTTGTAACTTTGGAAATCGACAATTTAATTTTATCTAAAGGAGGTTTGAGGAGAGTTTAGTAACTTTATAGTTGAACTCATGAGTCAACTGATGATAACCACCATTAAAAACCTAGAAGCACTGGAAGGTCGCTTCGTTCTAGTATGGGAATTCTCAGCAGTGCACGTCCATGATACCGCCCAACCCCTACCCCCCAATCAATTGAATTATGATTTCAACTAGTGAATTCTCCAAAATCTCCACAAAATCCCTTCTGATAATAATCATCTCCTCACTACTGACTGACTTCAAGATGTATGTCATGGAGTTCTAGTGAGAAGCCGTTACCAGTGGAGTTCAACCAGGTTTGTTGTGAGATATCAACTCACTGAAGACAATAGTGTACGGTGTTGGAATTTCGTGGATTAGTTGAAGTTAGACATTGACAGCGTTGTATGTGGCCGACTTATTGGTTTAGTGTTTAAGTGCTCGCATGCGAGATTGATAGTTCCTGAGTTGGAATTTCGTGGGGGGAGGAGCGGTATCTTGGATGCGCACGACTGAGTTGTTTCATACTATGACGAAACGGCCGCTGAATACTTCCAGGTTTTCTATTGTTGTCTAGTTTCAATTGACTCATGAATTTAACTATTAAAATTTAATTTAAATAAATAAATAACATCGAAATATATTTTGATTAATCGAATTCGAATTTTTGACCTGGAAATAAAAGGAGATTATTGTAAATGAAACTTTGAAGATGCCAAATATGTCTAAATATACATCATTCTTGTTAGATAAGTATTTACGTTAGAATAAAATATGTTTTTATTAATCTTTTTTGATATTTTTGGAGTGTTAACAACTGGAAAGAATTATTCAGGATAGAGTTTAATGGAGAATCTAAGTGGACGACCACGAGAAGTAACAGGCGTAAATCCATAATTTAGCCAACGTTTATATTGCTAATAATTTTTATCCGGTAGGTGTCTGATTTTATTTTTGCGTTACATATTTTGTATTAATGTATAAGTCAGGATAGCTAACTAGGTGCTTGACTAAGAAAACCAGCCTTTGATATATGAAGTTTACAAAACATAATACTTGTAATGATAGTCAGTAGTCCAGGTTGTCTAACGTTAAATATTTTCTTCCGTTTTACTGTTAAACGTTTAACAAGTATTTAAAACAATGAGTATGAATTCATCAATGTAAGTAAACATCTATTTCGAAATACTCTCCTGGAACGGTAAGCCTACACCTCATAATGAAGTTAATGGCAGTCAAAGTGACAGAATACTCTCGAACATTTTGAAAAATCTAATAATTCATCGGTGAATTAAAATTTTAAATAAAATTCATGATTTAGTACATTGTGTTAACCGTTAAAACTCGTATGGCATAAGAAAATTGATCATTAACGGGAAACATTCTTTGAAAATATTAATAAATTAGATTTTTCAATTCTTAAGGTAACAAAATGATGAGTCAACTGAATAGACTTAAATGTTGACTTTATTTCTGGTATTGGGTTATTTACCGTAATAAAGTCTAAACATATAGCGGTTTTTCGGAATAACCTCGTCATATTCAGTGATAATATTATTCTATCTGATATACGTTGGGTTATGTTGGCCAGACACTATCAGCAAAAGCCTACTATGGGAGAGAACAAACTAGATTCCAGCGGACGAAGAAATCAGGAAGAAACTCTGGAAGTGAATAGGACACACATTGTGAAAAGCACCGAACTGCATCACAAGGCATGCCCTCACATGGAATCCTCAAGGTCAAAAAATAGGAAGACCAAAGGACATATTACGTCGAGAAATGGAGATAGATATGAGAAGAGTGAACAAGAATTGGATAGAACTGGAAAGGAAGGCTGAGGACAGAGTTGGTTGGAGAATGCTGGTCGGTGGCCTATGCTCCATCGAGAGTAACAGGCGTAAGTAAGTAACTAACGTTGGTTTATAATTAAATCAATAAATGTGAACAATTACTTGTTTGTTATACTTTATCGATCTGAACAAATTATCTGGTTATTAGTTGTGATACTAGATGATGAACTTCATTTATTTGAAATTGATTTTAGCAAGATAGTCTCTATGGAAATTTCAAGGTGTCTAATATCAACTGTGCATGAATAAATTTTCTTGCTATTCCTAATAAGACACTTCCAGGAGATTCGTGTTTTGATCAACATTTCTCTTACCGGTTTTTTTGTTGTTTTTTTTTTAAATACTACTCTTCTAACCAAATCTAAATGATTCATATCATGTTTATTAAAAACGGTCTAGTTTTTTGTTACTAATATTTTAATGAGATAAATCTGAACTAATATTTCTATTCAATTTAGTAAATGTTTTTCTAAATATTACCAATGGTCCAGTACATTTCTTGTTTATGCACATGAAATTTTGCATTCTTTACTTTTCCCTTAGCTTCACTTAGTATATAGAAAAAAATAACATTGCAGTTTTACAAATACGATATGAAGGTTAGGGGATAGGGGGGGTTCTTTAAACGAGTGTTCAGTTTATCTATCAATCTTCGGTCAATATTATACTTATTTTAAAATGATAATATCCACATATCAAACAACAGTAAACTAAATAACAAACTAATTATACAAAGATGGGTAGTGACTAACAGTGGAATTCATGATGTGCGTTTCCTCCTATTTGGAATTCGTCAGCTAGATGCAGCTAAATCTCAGAGTTGATGTTTGCTCTGTGACTCAAACCCAGTACCGTTCACTTCAAATACCATTGCATTATCCACTTCGCTACTGATAGCCATTTGCTTGTGCAGTGGTATGAAGTTTAAATTCAAGTTAATACAAGTAAAACAACACCAAATGAATTGAATTACAATGATGATTAAACTTGAAATAAGGAAATATGTTTATCACCATATTTTATAAAAATTTGATTTCAATTCTTAAGATCATGAGTCAGTTGAAACTGGACCACCATGGAAAACCTGGAAGCACTGGACGGCCGTTTCGTCCTATTGTGGGACTCCTCAGCAGTGTGCATCCACGACCTCGCCCCCTGCGAGATTCGAACCCAGGACCTACTGGTTTCGCGTGCGAGCACTTAACCATTAGAGCATTTATAGAAAAAAAGTGATTTTCTTATCTTAAAAGGAAGAATAATTACAAATCGTTATTTTTAAAAGGTTTTATTTATCATTTAAACTTATTTGTATCCAGCTTTACACATTGGTCTATTTCAGTGTTTGTTATGTTGTTGGTTAATTTTTTCTTTTTTATATTTATTTTGCAATCTAACAATCTAATTGGTTATTACTAATACCATCCTATCCCTATGTGAATAATAATAATAATGGTAATAATGGTAATAATAATGATAGTAGTAGTATGAATTTGTAAGTCGACTTATTTTAACTATCTAATTTTTTAAAAAAGACGACTGACCAACCAGATATAAAAATGAATTCATTATGGTGAAGTTCTTATTCATAGGAGATGACGATTATAATTTTATCTTTTATAGAAATATATATATATCTTACTATGTTTCAATGTTGACTGTTGGAAATATTCTCATTCAATGGTAAAATGCTTATTTTTCTTGTTCTCTTTCTACTTATATGTGGGACTAAATGTTAATTGTTGATGCAAATGTTCAAATGTTTAATCTTTGAAAAGAAATATTCAACTATTATCATTTTGATCTATCAAATATCCTTGTCTATATTTTCACAGATTTGCATTGAACCTAATATTTAAATTAAAATTAATATATATATATATCGTTTATATTCATTTATATTGATATCACATATGTACATATATAATGGCACGTATTGATAATAAAAAAGTAGAATTTGTTCATCGAGAAAGTGAGTCAGATTGTCGAACATTCAGAACTGGATCTATGGGAGAAAAAGAACAACATATAAGTCGGTTTCGTCGATTAACATCTGGTAGTCTTCGTCATAAAAGTCGTGGTAGTCAAGTACCATTAATAAAAACCGATTTTATTGAACCTGTACATAATATAGATCCATTACATACATACTTTAATTCTGATACTGAAGTAAGTGACTCAGGTGTACCTCGAATAAATGATAACTCTTATATCAGTAATACACGTAGACCTAAAAGATACAGACGTTCATGTCGTTCTGCTTATGAAACACCTAATTATTCTACTGCTTTAGGACCATTAAGAGAAAAACATAAACTTAGTCCATTGGAACGTATATTTTTAGAAGCAGCAGAACGAGGTGATAAATCTACCCTGATCCGATGTTTATCATTTTCAAGTGGTGTAAATGTTAATTGTGTTAACATGTTGGGTCGTACAGCAATTCAAATTGCAGTTGATAATGAAAACATTGAATTAGTTGAATTACTTCTTGAACAACCTGGTATAGAAATTGGTGATGCAATATTGTATGCTATTCAAGAAGGTGTTTATCGAATAGTTGAAATGTTAATTGATCATCCATCAATCACTAAAGAAATGTTAGGTACATCATGGACAACACAGTGTATTGGAATCGGTAAGCGAGAAGAAGAGAGTCATGACTTTTCTGCTGATATTTCTCCAGTTATGTTGGCTGCAATTTGTAATCAATTTGAAATTTTACAATTACTTATAAATCGTGGCGCCAGAATAGAAGAACCACATAAATCATCATGTTCCTGTGAACATTGTCATCGACTACTTACAGATGATCCACTGAAGCATACTCTTCAAAGAATAAATACATATAGAGCACTTGCTAGTCCAGCATGGATATCGTTGACATCTCCTGACCCTATACTAACTGCGTTCGAATTATCTTCAGAGCTTCTTCATTTGGCATCACGTGAAAATGAGTTCAAAGAAACATTCTTATCATTATGTGAACAATGTAGGAAATATGCTTGTGATTTATTAGATCTATGCAGAGGAACAGGTGAAGTTGTCGCTGTACTCAGTAAAGGGACTGATAGCGATGAAAGTCTAAGTGATATTAGCAGTGACGAGTCAGATGATCTACAAGGAGTAATAAAAACACACAATCTGTTTCCACCTACAAATCATATTTCTACATCTTATTACTCACCAAATCGCCAAATTCATCAAACAAATCGTATTCATCTTGATCTAATAAATAATCAATCTGAAAATAATCAAAATTATTTAAATAATGGAAATGATTGGCGTGAATTATTAGATAGAACATATATTTCTAAAAAACGACATCATAGACGTTATACAACATGGAATCATCCTACTTATTCATGTGCAAAATTTAATCAAACATTAAGTATAGAAAGTTCAAATCATGATGAAATAAATAGTAATGAAAATTTACATCCATCTACTAGTAAAATTAATGAATTATATGATCCAGATAATCAACTTACTTATAAAGATCATTTAGAAACAACAAATAATGTATATTCATCTACCAGATCACCTATAACACTCAAATAATAATAATAATAATAATAATACTTCTAGTTTGTATCCATGTAATATAAAAGAAAACAATGATACTAATAGTAATATTATAATAAAACCCAATTCAAATGAGAATGTATCAACAATGTTAATGACATCAGAACCATGTTCATCTATATTTTTTGAACGTAAACGTAATAGTTTCGATTGGGAATCACCAATATGTAGTTTTAATCAACAAACTCAATTAAATAATAATAATTATAATACAATAAATTCAAAACAAACTATATTCAAAGGAAATAAATCAACTCATCATTCAATATGTTGTTGTTGTTGTAATTGTTGTTATTCATCTAATTATAATGATTGTCATTGTTCAAAATCATCCATTAAGAATAGTAATGTCAATCGTTTAAGTATTAATAATAATAATAATAAATCATCCACTTCGCAATTGGAAACTATTGAAACATCTGATATTATTGGTATTAGACAACAGAGGAAATTTTATTCATTTAAATTAGATCGTTTAAAATTAGCCATTAAACATGAACAGAAAAAAGTAAGTAGTAAATGATAAATATTTTCTTTATTTAGTTTTATTTTTCTTCTTTCGTTTTTCTTGTGGTGGACTAAACATTATATTAATCAAAAAGGAATAACAATGAAGTTATTACGTCCAAAAGTTAATATAACAACAAACAATTATTAACGCAAAATAAAGGTTCAGGGATGTTACTTAAATCACCTGGCTGTTGCGTGTTTCGTTGTGCTTGGTACCAAAGATTCACAATTATAGATAATTAATAATTCCAATGAGGTAAATATGGCTTCAGACAGTTTTCTCGACGTAGAATGCAATAGGAATGTCACAACAGTTTATAAATATGGTTGATAGTTAATCAATAGTTTAGTTATTATATCCACAGTCATGATAGAACGAGGCATGTGTGTAAAAGAGTATATTTATTAATGCACAGTTAACAATATCGTGCTATGGGTAATTCAAAAAGGAAGTTAGTTGTCAAAGTCACATACATAAACAACAAGTACAATCGTATAGTGATAAATGTACAGAGTGTGGAAATAAACAAAATAAATGCAAAAGCTATCAAAAACTATTTACAAAATTGGTTTATTAGGCCTATCTCCACATTCTTTTAAAATAAAGTATTTCTTTTGTATACAGTACTGTTTTAATAATGAAATCACATTTTCAGATGACATGAATTCATCAATTAGAATAGTTATTAATTGAACCAAGTATTACAGATGAATATTATTGAAATGTTAATATAAAATCACTGTTCTTTTCATTATAATGTTGATTGCTGTAGAAAGTTAACTTTTAAGAAATCAGTATATACACTATCTAGTTTGTTTCATCTTATTATAATCACGAATCTACTTAGTGTTAATTTAATGTAAATGATTTATTTGAAGAATATAAGATTTAAATATTTGATATCAGAAAGAGGTATTTTGTGGATAGTATAATAACTTAATAGTTTAGATTATGAGTCAGCCCAAGCTAGAACACCTTGGGAAATCTGGAAGCACTGGATGGCCGTTTCGTCCTATTATTAGACATTAACACCATTGGATGTTGGCCGGTTCAGTGGTCTAGAGGTTAAGTGTTCATGTGTGAGACCGATAGATCCGAGGTTCTAAAGCCGTGGTGCGGGATCATGGATACGCACTGCTGAGGAGTCCCACAAAATGGCGGTCAAGTGCTTTCAGGTTTCCCATGGTAGTCAAGCCTCAACTGATTCATGATTTCAACTATAAAACTTAAGTATTTAATGGAACAATGTTACTTATAACACTTGAAATGAATATTATAGAACTCTTTGCTTGTATGATTAATTCAATAAGCATCATGTTAAGCAAAATTATCAACTTTAAATTTCAATTTGTTAAATACTACATTATTGAAAGTTTTTAAACGAATACATTCCGAATTTTTCAACATTTAAACTATCTTCGATAAAGACATTTTTTGGCAAGCTTGTTAGACATAGAATTAAAGTTAATTACAGGAAGTTACTTCAGTGAGACTATAATTTATGGATGACCATTGGGCGACGCTAAAGAGACCTTGAGACAGTCCACCTAATAACTAAGACCAAATGAGTCTTATAAACTAATGTGGGGAATTAAAAATTATAATTTACAGTTGATGGTTAAGGTTAGGTATTAGATTTCAGGGTATTCATCACGAACTGACATCAGCTATAATGCTGAAACTCCATTTAACCAAATAAATGAGTGATTTTCACGTCAAAATTCGAGACCTGTTACTTTATACATGATTGGTTCGTCCAAAAATTATAGTCTCACCGTAACTTCTTTACGAAATGATTTACAGAGGTTTCTGGGTTTTTTTTATAAATTCAATTTTGAACAGACAAAAGTTAAGCAAATTAAACGTTTACTTATCTTATGATTATGATTACGTAATTCAGATTATACAATCAAAATCATTTGAAATATTAGTTAGACATAAAACAAATTCAGATTTCAAACAAAACTCCAAGTGAAAATAGTCAAACTGTAAAAGTTATGTGGTAGATGAATATTTGAATCATTTGAATGAAATTTAATAGATTACTTACGAGGTAATTAATATTGTAGCAAAGAAATACACATGATTCATATCTACATGATATTAACAATGTGTGTTTTTTATAAAGTCGATATAGTGTGGTTAATAACTAACTGATTATTATCATCTATGGTATATGATAGCACTGTTCAGGTGTAGATAGTTCAGAAACTAATGAATCAACATTAATGCCTATGTAGTTTAATCACTGTAAAACAAACGTAATGATTGAATGTTTATAAAACTCACTTAAACCCAGTGATTTTTGGATTTAGTATAGAAATAAAAGTTTCAGTAATAGTTGACTATTTTAAAAGAAACCTAATTTCCTGAGGTCTCACGTCATAACAAACTCCATTTTGTCAATACTTAGATCTTAGTTATATATGTTTTGTTGAATAACATTTGAAAAACCTTAACAACTATAAAAAGTTCTTCTAGCCTATTTATAATCACAAATACGTTGAAAATGGGTTTTATGGTGATGATGATGATGATGATGATGATGATGATGATATAGTTTGTTACTTTATTTTCAGGTAAATTAGTCAATTAAATGTAAAATAAAATGTTTGGTAAATTATCACAGCTCATTATTTATGGAATTCTATAATGATACTTTTCATTTGATATTTGCTTGAATAAGCAAAATACATCCCATTATCTCATTAATAACGAAATTATAAATTAAAGTTTCATCGCCGTTTTTCTTAACATGTTTTACAGTCTTATAACTAAATCGGTCATTTTATTGTAACAGTATGTTTGTAGTGTTTTTGTTTTCTTCATCGAATTGTATTTGTCCAAGGTAATTGTTCACTTTTGAGTTTTCGCTAATCTAAGAGTGTTCATTGAGACTAATTTAAAAATATCAGAACGATTTTTGTGGAGATTGTAGTAATTTCAACAGTTGAGATCATGAGTCAATTGAAGGTGGACCACCATGGAAAACCTGGAAGCACTGGACGGCTGTTTCGTCCTATTATGGGACTCCTAAGCAGTTCTAGTGAGAAGCAGTGATCATTGGAGTTCAACAAGTTCTATTATGCGATAGTAACTCACTGATAACAATGGTGGATGTGTCGCTCAATTTCGTGGATTAGTTGGAGTTAGACATTAACACCGTTGAATGCCGGCCGGCTCAGTGGTCAAGTTGGTTAAGCACCTGGCGCGAGACTGATAGGTCCTGGGTTCGAATTTCGTGGGGAGAGGGAGGGATCGTGAATGCGCACTCCTGAGGAGTCCCACAATAGGACGAAATGGCCGTCTAAAGCTTCCAGGTTTCCCATGGTGGTCTAGCTTCAATTGACTCATAATTTAAAAATACTTTATTTGATATCAAGTAACATTTTTTGTTTCCTTAATTCGGTAATGCAAACGTTTAAGCATTAAGAAAATATTATTGTCAGTTGAGTGTGATATAAAGAAATCACTCGCATTATTATTTATCCGAGTGATTCAATTATTGAAGTTACTACTATCTCTACAAACCCACATCCTGATAATAAACATGTATTCACTAGTGTCTAGCATCAAGATGGACTTCCTGGAGTTCTTGTGAGAAGCTGTGACTAGCTAGAGAAAGTTATTCACCTGAGACAATGGATGGAGAGTTGGACAAGATCATTGATCGATTGAAGTTAGAGATTAACACAGTTGGATGCCAGTCGAATCAGTGGTTTAGAAGTTAAGCGTTCGCGTGTCAGACAGAATATCTTGATTTCGAATCTCACATGAAGGATTGTGTATGTGCACCTGTGAGGAGTTCCATACCAAGGCAAAATGCCCGTCCAGTTGTTCTAGGTTTTCGATAGTGGGCTAGCTTAGATCAACACATGAATTCAACTATTTAAATTGCTACAATGTTTACAAACCCTATTCTGATTAAGACTAGATGATGATGATACAATCTATTAAACAATTTCCTGTTTAATATGTATTATTAACTTACTACTGGAAGCCATTATTTACTTCTTTTCAATTTTTTAATTATTTTTTTTCACAAATCACGCCTTTATATTAAGTTGATTATTATATTTTCAGTCACTAAGCAACAGACTGTTCGAATATATAGATTCATCATTATTGTATAAGGCTGTATTGAAAAAAGTATTATCTAGTAACAAACAATTCATTTTACTATACTTGTTTTAATGAAAATATATCAACATTTCTTTCACTGATACACTGATTAGTAGATCAATAAGGTTTTATTTGAATGTCTAGAAGTAACCTAACGATACTTTATCATTATATTTGTTTGACTTTCATTCAAGAAATCCCTTCTCCATCTCATCAACTATTTTGTTCGAAAGATGCCTTTTCAAAAAAATCAACAAAGTCACATTGGGAATCTGATTGATGAAAATACAAAACTTATGTTCATTATGTACTCATTGAAATTGAAGAAAATATATTATGTTGCTAAATTTACTTCCATTTAGAAACCTAAGCATGCGATTCTACATAGGCCTCTAAATCGCATAAAATATTAAAGCGCTTCTCATCGTATTCAGTTGTTTGCATATGTGTGTGAACACTCTTTGAACGGAGCAATCAAACGTAAACAAGTGTGGCTTCATAAACGGTTAGCACTGAATCATTAGACAAAATTCGGGAGTAGAAAACAGTACGCCTTGATAGCAAAACCCTTGGCTACCTGGAAATTCAAAGTATCTTTGTGTACATAAAGACAATTTATCCGAGCCTCAAATAAGTCTCCATAAGTTGTGATCATTTAAAAGGCATAGAATGTGGACAGTTATTTATTCTTTTCACATAAGACTAATTTAATCATTCTATTTCCAACGATCACTTCAAACTTATGAAGCAAAATCATTTTCATAAATAGATGTTTTGATCAGTACATATATTACCAAACTGCATCACACAAATACACCGCATTTCTTTAAATCAACTCTGTTATGTTATTTCAATATTAAAGTATAGAAAAGTGA